GTCACGCAAAGTGACGAGCGTGAGTGCCTTCTCGCGCTCGTTTCCTGTGCTCAGATGCCCCTCACCCATGCACCCACGCCCTACGTTTGTCGCCGCCAAGTGGAGGCAGAGAACCGGTTTCAGTTGCGAGTTGCGAGTTGCGAGTGGCGAGTCGTGAGTGCCAGTCACGTGAGTGGTGCGCGAGCTTCGAGGTAGCACTTTGAACCTCTTCTCCCTCTCCTCCTGGTCGGACAGATGTGGACACTGGAACTACTTTGCCAGAGCATATCATCCATGGCGCATAGCATCTCACCCTCCCCCCGCCGCGAGAGAGAGAGAGAGAAGGAGATCTGCGTGTGGAGTTGCGCAGCAGACGCGCTTGCTTTGCACAGCCGCGCGCGCGCACACGCGAAAGCGTCTGAGTGCTGGCTGACTCAGCAGCGATGAGTTGCAGTCTAGAGTAGTCTAGTGAGTGGCACACCGCCTGGAAGCAACTCACAGCCACAATCAGGCGCGGTATAAGAGGCATGGATTGCAATCTGCTGCAGACTCAACACTTAGACCATCACGATCGAGCTTGGCACCAAACGCGCGTTGACAGCTGGTCAGTCGTGTGGACTATGCATGCGGCACGTGGCTTGTGATCTCTTGTGCGTGACGCGCTCAAAAGAGGAGGCCACCGAGAAGCAGACCGCCCATGAGACCACCAGCGATGGGCAGACCCATGCCTCCTCCATATGCGTATCCAGGCCTGCGTCGATAGGGGCCGTACGGAGCAGCGTAGCTTCCAGGTCCGTATGGATATGCAGTTTCGGTCTGATAAGGCGTGTAGCCCAAGCATGGTCCAGCATACGGGTCCATGCTGGGTGGAGGCTGAGCAAAGATGTCTCTGCCCCTCTGATCCCGACCCAGCAACTGCGGCTGACCCGTCTGCGCAGCTCGATGAAGCGCGGCGCGAATGGCTTGATGCTGCCTGTACGCTTCCTCTTCTGCTTCCCTCTGCTTGCGACGCTTCTCCACCCGCTCCGCATGCGTCGTCCCCGTCATCTTGTTCTTCATTGTTTGTCCAAACTTCTTCACGCCTGTTGCAGCCGGCTTGCTGCCGCTCTGCACATCTTCATTCCCTGCATGACTAGCCTTCGTCTCGTGATGACGCGTTGCCCAAGCGCCTGCACTTGGGCCTGCATTCGCATTCGCATTCGCATTCGCATTCGCATTCGCATTCGGATTGGCGCGTGTGCCTTCCTCATCCGTGCTCTCATCCACGGTGTGATATCCGCTGAGTCTCTTGCTGCCCAGCACCTCCGGCTCTTTGGACCCTTTGCCGCGATGCGCATTCACATACTGCTCATCATCCAGAGGGTGCTCCCAGATCGAGCGAGGCGGGTTGACAGTCGTATCGACGTAAAAGTGATGCTGGTTGCGCGGATCGTATTGTCGTACCCAGCCTTCGGGCAGCGGTCTGCCCAGATCCTCCATGGATCGTCGATCCTCGGCAGGAATCAGCGAAGGTCGTCGACTGGGGGTGGAGGATGGATTGTTAGGGTTGGCGCTTCCAGCGCGTGCTGGTGCAGTAGCCGCAGCATCGTAAGAGGGTGGCGCATCGGATGGCACACTGGTCGGGGTCATGGTCAGCACCAAGGTCAGCAAGTGTGGAGGGGAGGGTGCGCACCGCGTGGCGAGAGATTGAAGTGCGTCGGTGTCGCGTCGCGTGTACCAAAGTATTGCTGGCTTGAGGGAGCACTGGTGATCTTAGCAAGTCAAGGGGACAGGCATTGCGAATGGTAGTCGAGAACGGCTGGGTGGGGTCAATGGTGAATGTGGCGTGCCCAGCGTTGCGCGCGCGATGAGGTGGAGGTGTTGCGGGTGTTGCGCTGGCTGCCCAGGCTCGCGCCTCGCCTCATTTCACGTGACACACACACGTTATTGCCGCTGCTGGCCGACATCCGAGCGACAAGAGTCAAGAGTCACAACAGTCTGAGTCTGATGAGCCAAAAAAGTCTTGATCGAACTTACACTTGACTCTCGACTCTGGACTCTTCTAATGACTTTGACTCATGATGACCCTTGACTC